CCTGGCTTACAATACATTATTATCAACTGTAGTCACCCTACTGTGCAGCAGATCTCAAAACTTATTTCTCCTTTGTATTTGAAACTATACCCTTTGACTGACAACTGCCTATTTCTCCCCTCGCCAAGCTTTTTTCTACTCTCAGCTATTTTAGGTTCCACATAAAAATGATATCACCTAGGAAGCCTGGCCCCCAGAAGGTGGAACAAACCATCACTGCCATTTCCTCTTACAGTCCTCCAGCTGCTTGGAGTGTGGGTGTGGTTATAGAAAGTGAATGGCAGAGCAGGGTAACTACTGCTCGAGGTTTTGGGCCAGAGGACTAAAAGGGAGCCCCAGGAATTTGGAAAGGACTCAGGAGCTCAGAGAGAAGAAGGACATGGAGAAAACAACTCCATACAGTTGTTTATGAACTGTTGGGCTCATTCCTGAGCTGCACGTGCATGTCCAACCCTCACCAGCACATCAAAGATTGAGAGAACTAAATGCCTGGACAAACTATCCACAGTCCAGGCTTGCCACTGGGTGGCACTGAAAGCTGACATGATATGGGACTCACAGAAGGTAGACTGGAATTTTATGTTTGGGTTCAACCAAATTGATTTCTTACTGTGTCAGTCATCATCTTATGGCCTCTGAGCTGTGAATGCACTATTCAGTATATATGGACTGTGATAAACAGTGGAATTTGTCCTTTAAAGTGAACTTTTTGGTGTTAGGCTTTCTCAGAAGAGGGCACTAGAGGGATACTGTAGTAAGAAGAGGCCTCTTGCCCTTTCTAAAATAGGTTGGGGATCAACAGTGCATGTATGAATTTTGCCATGGGCTCAAAACATAGTCCCTTTGTGACTTTGCAGACCTGACTTGGTGACAACCTTTCTGTAGCTCTGTAGATCCAGAAAACAGAGCCTTGTGTAGCCCATGTGCTCTAAGGGCCTCTGCCCATGCTTTCTTTCAGTCTCTCTGCAAGCCTCCACATGCTCTGCACATGGATGGCTTCCTGTGGCCCTTAGCTTAGTGGTGGCACCAAGCTATCGCCTTTGCAAGTCCCCGAGGTTCAGCACACTGAAAGTCTTCTGCCCCTTCTGGCACCTGGACTCCCTTATGTGTCCATGCCACCAGTTGCTGATCAGCTATTTTTACTTGCATTCTAAGAGGTGACCCATTGGTTGTCTAGTAACTCCACACCAGCCTGACCAACCCACAGATTCTAAAATGAGGTGAACCTCTTCCAAATTTGTCCTTCCTTGAGTATTCTCCCTCAGACCTGGGGGTATTAATGGAAAGATAAAAGTATCATCAAAGAAACAGAAGATATAAAGAACCAAAGGGAAATTTTACAAGTAAAATAGACAAGAGAGTTACTACATAGACTCATAAACATAGTGAGAATGACCTAGAGAAGGAAAAGATTTACAAAAAAAAAAAAAAAAAAAAAAAAAAAAGAACAGTGACTCAAGAACCTACAGAGCAATACTGAAAGTTCTAATATTTGTGTTATCAGAGTTCCAGAGGAGGGAAGAAAGAATGTAGTAGAGGAAAAATATTTGGAGAAATAATGATTTAAAATTTCTCAAATTTGGCAAAAGACATAAGCCAACAATTAAAGAAGCTAGGTGAATCCCAAACAGGAAAAACCCAAAGGAATATATGCCCAGATATATCATAATTAATCTGAAGGAAACCAAAGACAAAGACAGTATCTGGAAAGTAGCAAAAGAAAACACATTCCCTATGGTTCAAATTACTGCAGATTTCTTATCAGAAGCTATGAATGCCAGGAGAAAGTGGCACAGCATTTTCAAAGTGCTTAATGACGAATTCAGAATTCTATATTCAGCAAAATACAACCTTTAGGAATGGAGGAGAGGAAAAGATGCCCTCAGTTAAAAGAAAGCAGAATTTGTTGGCATACCTCCTCTAAAATAATTGTTAAGAGAAGTTTTTAAGACAGGAGGAAAGTGATCAGAGGGAAACAAGGACGGAAGGGAGGAAGGGAGGAAGGAAGGAAGTTAGAGCAGCAAATCTGTTAAAAATCAGGGTAAATATAATGGGCAAGTTTTCTCCTCATAAGTTTGATGACTGTAAAACAAAAATATGACCTTGATTGATGGGATGAATATAGTAACTACAATGTAAATGAGGGGCAAAGGGGGACCTTTCTGGTGGTAAGGTTTCTACATCTTACTTGAAGTGGTACAATATTGTTTCTAAGCAGACTATTTAAAAGCATATATATATGTACCTTGTATTCCTAGGCCAACCATAAAAAGAGATAAGAGCTACACAAGAGACATAGTAAAAAACCACTATAGAAAATGAAATGGAATAGTAAAATATGTTCAGATAACACAAAAGAAGACAGGAAAATATGAAAGAGGAAAACAACAACAAAAAGGAATTAAGTGAAGAACAAATAATAAAATGGCAAGCCTAAACATATCAATAATTATATGAAATATAAATGACCTAAATAACCAACTAAAAGAGAAAAATTGTTCAATGGGCTAAATATTTAACAATGTTATGTGTACAGAATCTTACATCAAATGTAACCATATATTTAGGTGAAAAGTAAAATGATCAAATGAAGAAGAAAGTAGGAAGACAACTCACAAAGTGGGAGAAATTTTTTGCAAATAATATGTCTGATAAATGACCTGTATCTAAAATATATAAAATACTATTATATGTCAACAATAAAAAGACAAATTAACCCAATTAAAAACAGGTAAAGGATCTGAAAGAAGATACACAAATGCCCAAATAAACATATGGAGAGATGTGCAACACCGTTAGCTACCAGGAAAATGCAAATCAACGTAATGAGTTGCCACTTCACACCTGGAAGGATGGCTGGACTGAAACAGAGCCTTGGCAAGGCTATGGAGAAAGTGGAACCCTCACACAAGGCTGGTGCAAATGAAAAGGATGCAGCTGCTTTGGAAGCCAGCCCAGCGGTTCCTGAAAGTATTAGACAGAGTTTCTCTAAACCCAACAGCTCTGCTCTTCTGTATCTATCCAGGAAAATAGAAAACAAACATCCACAGGATAACTGCTTTGCCATTTGCACCTTTGTCAAAAATCTCTTTTGTTGAAGAAATTCAAATGGTCAAAAAACACATGAAAAAATGCTCACCATCTCTAGCGATAAAGGAAATGCAAATTAAAACCACACTAAGATTCCACCTCACCCCTGTTAGAATAGCCATCATTAGCAACACCACCAACAACAGGTGTTGGCGAGGATGCGGGGGAAAAAGGAACCCTCTTACACTGTTGGTGGGAATGTAAACTAGTACAACCACTCTGGAAAAAAAATTTGGAGGCTACTTAAAAAGCTAAACATTGATCTACCATTTGATCCAGCAATACCACTCATGGGGATATACCCAAAAGACTGTGATACAGGTTACTCCAGAGGCACCTGCACACCCATGTTTATTGCAGCACTATTCACAATAGCCAAGTTATGGAAACAGCCAAGATGCCCCACTACTGATGAATGGATCAAGAAAATGTGGTATCTATACACAATGAAATTTTATGCAGCCATGAAGAAGAACGAAACATTATCATTTGCTGGTAAATGGATGGAATTGGAGAACATCATTCTGAGTGAGGTTAGCCTGGCCCAAAAGACTATGTATGTTCTCCCTCATATGTGGACAGTAGATCAAGGGCAAACACAACAAGGGGATTGGACTTTAATCACATGATAAAGCGAGAGCACACAAGGGAGATGTGAGATAGGTAAGACATCCAAAAAACTAGATAGCATTTGTTGCCCTCAACACAGAGAAACTAAAGCAGATACCTTAAAGCAACTGAGGCCAATAGGAGAAGGGGACCAGGAATTAGAGAAAAGGTTAGATCAAAAAGAATTAACTTAGAAGGTAACACACACACACAGGAAATTAATGTGAGTCAACTCCCTGTATAGCTATCCTTATCTCAACTAGCAAAAACCCTTGTTCCTTCCTATTATTGCTTATACTCTCTCTTCAACAAAATTAGAGATAAGGGCAAAATAGTTTCTGCCTGGTAGCGAGGGGGTGGGGGGGAAGAGGGAGGGGGCAGGGAGTAAGGGAGGTGGGGTAAGGGGAGAGACATGACCCAAACATTTTATGCACATATGAATAAAATAAAAATTAAAAAAAAAACTCTTTTGTCAAAACTCTTATAAGAGTTTTTTTTGTTTGTTTTTTGGTGGGACCAATGTTTGAACTCAGGGCTTCACAATTCCAAAGCAGGTGCTCTACCATTTGAGCCACACCTGCAGTCCATTTTGCTCTGGTTATTTTGGAGATGGGGTCTCTTGAGCTATTTGCCTGGGCTGGCCTTGAATTGAGGCCTTGAATCCTTCCTATCTCAGCCTCCCAAGTAGCTAGGATGATAGGCGTGGGCCACTGGCACTCAGCTTCATTGAGGCGTAATATAGTTAAGAAGTCATATTCTACTTGAGAGAGAATGTCTGAGTGTGCGTGCATGAGCGGGTGCTGTGATTAACTCTCTGAATTTACCCTCCAGTATGTTACAACCTACTGGGAAGATTACACGTATGTACTATAAGTTCACTCGAGCATGGGACATTTGAGGGATGCCCAGGTGGCTCTGGGAGTGCAGAATTCAGCTGGGGGAGGGAGACAAGTGAGATGGCCTAGGGAAGATGGCCCCAGGGCAACGGCTGAATTCTGACTTGTATACAAAGTGCCATCAAACTTTAAGAACATTAGCAAACAGCCATCCTGCAAGTAATAAGGCCCCCATTACTCATCAAGGAATTCATTCATATTTCTTTTTATTATTGTCCTATTATTGTTGTCTTGGGCATACATTGTGACATTTTACCAAAGTTCTTACAATATATCATAATTGAATTCACCCCTTCCACCTTTCTCTTTTTCCCTCCCCTCCTCATTTATATTTCATTTTAAAGTCCATGTTAAAGTAATTTTCTTCTGTGTATAAGTGAAGCTGACATGCGCATTTTCTAATAGGCAATTTCATGCCCCACGATGGGACATAAGGTGGTCGTGTTCGACATTTCTGTCGTCAGAGCCTTGTGGGAAACTCGTGTCAAGAAGCACAAAGCCTGGCAGAAGAAGGAGGCGGAGAGGCTGGAGAGGAGTGCCTTGGAGAAGTATGCGTTCCTCCTGTTCTTCTAGTTTGCTTAGCAATAGGGATCCTGGCAGCTTCTGTAGTGCTGTGGACACTGAGGACACTTTTCCTCTGGGATCTGTCATTCCCGTGACACTTTCCTTATTGGACTTCAGAACTGGTACTGTTGCCTGACACGAGCCCTAACGATATCACCCATTACTATAAGGCCCTACATTCCTTCCAGGCACTGTGCTAGGGATGGACAGACAGACAGAGATGACATGACAAATTCCTCTGTGCTAAACACTGGAGAAGCTGCTTAGCTGGCCTTCACCCAACTCACTCACTAAGCCATCTGATGCTCTCGGTACTCACCCAGCCATATGTCATCTGCCTGGACAGCTTGGGGACATGCTCTGTCATGCATTTCTTCTTCACTGTTGAGTTGAATTCCAGATAATATTCATTTTTCTCATTTACTTGGATTGAAATTATGCATTTTTACTATTATATCAACTCATAATATTTGAGTAAAAGAGAGCTATCATATATACAAAAACTAAGCTGAGTTAGTGCTTTGGAAAAACTACCTGTATGATAAATAGAAGCCACACAATGGGGGTTAGCACCTTGCTAATTTGCAGGTGAGGAATTTGTGTCCTAAGCTGGTAGATGGAGGATTTTGCCAAGCCTTTCCTCCTGCACAGTGCTGTCATCACTGGTGTATGGAACTTCTTTTCACTTGTCAGTAATTTGAGATTATTCAATAAAATGTGAATCCTGAATTTAAGAATTGGAGCCCACAAATCAGGTAATGAATCTGAGTGAGCGACATTAGTAAGAATTGCACAAGGTCTCAGGCCCCATGAGTCCAAAGCAACTCTCTGCCCTGATGCAGCTTCCTCTTTGCTCCTAGCATCTGGGGATCCCTTGGAATAGGACCTGATGTAGAGGACTTGGACTCCATCCCTGGGAGGTTAGGGAAGTGTCTGAAGCTGATGTAACACTGTGGATTCTTTTTTTTTTTTTTGGTACTGGAGCCTGAACACAGGGCCTCATGTTTGCTAGCCAGGCGCTCTACCACTTGAGCCAGACTCCAACTCTGTTTTTGTGTTGGTTTTTTTCAAAATGGGGTTTTGTGAACTCTTTGCTTGGGCTGGCTTGGAACCATGATCCTCTTGATCTCTGCCTCCTGAGTAGCTAGGATTATAGGCATGAACCCCAGTGCCCAGCCACTGAGTGTTCCTGAAACAGGAGTTCTGTAGCTGCTGAAACTGGATTCTCTAGCAGCTTTGTAGTGGCTTCTGCCCCTTTAACTCTGCCTTGCAGTGTGGTGTTAAGCCACTTCAAACATCTCAGGCACGGAGGATCGACCCTGAGTTGGGCTCAGTGCCATGGGATTTGTGCTGTGCCTCATCTTAATCTAAGACAGAAAACTTCTTAAAATTTTCCAGCTCCAGATAAGAATATCCACCAGGTTGGCTGGGCAGATGAGTAGGAACCTGGAGCTTGGTGGAGAGAGGAATTTGATGTTCAAGAAACTTAGTTTTTCAGGACCTTCAGCAATGGTGGTAGTAAATTTGCTGTCTTTGCAGTGTCACTGGAGACAGGGTTGAGGAGGATCTTAAGAGAAAGATCCTTGATTTGTCACTCTGTACCTCCTCCTTCTTGAATCTATTGGATGAATTTTGAGGCAATTCATAAAATAGGAAGTAGGCGATTTTTTTTTTTTTTTGAGGGGTTCTGGGGGTTGAATGCAGAGTCTCATGCTTGTTAGGCAGGTCCTCTACCACTTGAGCTATGAAGTGGGCAAAGATTTTATTAGTTAAATGGTGCAGATCAAGGAAGAGACAGTGGGGAAAGTGCACTCTTAAGAGTGTTTAATAAACATTTAGGCATTTCTCCAACAGAACTGTTTGTACTAGCTAAAGTGCTCTAGAGGAGTTGAACTTTGGCTTTCCTCCAGATGAGGATGTTTTTTATGTTGGGCACCTGGTTACCTTCAATCATCTTGCTGTCCACTCAGTTTTGATGTTATCACTTAAGTATGGAGATACAGGGTCCAAGGCGATCTACTAATTGCAGGGTCTTGTGATATGGGGGCCTGTTTCTTGTAACTTTTATAGACTGTGTTTTCATCCAAAGACTTGCTGTACCAGGCATTTGCAAGTTCTGGGTATATTACCCATTTAAAATAAGGTCAGGGAAAGTCTGTAGTGTGTATCATACTTCATGAGAAAACAGGCAGTGCTAAGAAGAGGAATGTGTATGCTTTCTTTATCTAGTACAATGTTTGATCTTGCTGTTCTGGAAATTTTACAGCTTTCGTTTTTTGCTTCTAGCTTACTTTAATTTTTCATGTCCTTGGTTTTAGCTTGCTTTTTAATTCTCATGTTACCTGTAAGATGCTCGCCCGCCTTAATGGTTGTTCTTGAGTTTCCCTAATATGATTCATGCGTATTAGTTCTACTTGGAGTTAACTTAGTTTTGTCTTGGGATCTGTGCACAAATTAATATATTAAAAATGGGTAAATGCCTGATTATAACAGGTAATTATTTAGTATAACTTGAATTTGCTAAAACAAGTAGAATCCTCTAGCTTGTTCTGCTACCTCACTTCATGGTAATGAATCTTGTTCTGTGAGATTTTTTTTCCATAAGTATATAATAACATTTGAAAGTTATAGATAGAGGTAAAATACAGAATATCACTCCCTCTAAATGAAACAGGATCATTTAGAGGAGAAATAGAAGAGCTGTTGCCAGGCTCTGAGAGAGGAATTTTTTATCTAGGAAGGTTGTTTCCCATCTGGGCTAGGACTGTGTGCTCATTTCCTAAATAAGATGTATTTTATTTGTACTTATTGACTTCTAATTAGTAGAACTCCATTGGCATTGTTTTGTATGTTTATTTTGTAATTGAAGTTCTACTAAAATTGATTCAAAGGGGAAGACTTCATATCCAATTAGGTAATATAGCATAAAGTCAATGGTATTTTATTTTGTTGACTTTTTTTGAGGGGGGCACAGCACTAGGGTTTGAACTCAGGGCCTCACGATTGCTAGGCAGGCATTCTACCACCTGAGCCACTTCACCAGTCCATATATATATATGTATACTTTTTTTTTTTTTGAGATAGGGTCTCTGGAAATATTTGCCCAGCCTGGCTTTGAACCATGATCTTCCTGATGTCTGCCTTCTGAGTAGCTAAGATTACAGGTGTGAGCCATCAGCACCCAGCTATTTTAATTACTCTTAAGGAATAGAATTTAAAAAATAGTTTATTTTCTCATCTTGACTTTCCTGTCATTTAGAAAAGCCCCACAAAATGGATTTAGTATATAATTATTTTAGTGGGGTATGTCTAATTTCAATTTTTTCTCCATTTTGTGTTGGCTGTATAAAATGTGAAATGTACAAATATCAACTAGTAATTTGTGATGTAGGCGAGATGTATTATATAGGGTTAACTGGAACCACATCAATACAGTGCTGGGATGTGCCTTCAGGATTGGGTTAAGAAACAAGGAAAGAAAAATAAGTGAACTGTGCTCAGGGAGTATAGGAACTTGCAGTGGCTGTGCTGTTGATTGATAAAATTTTGGAGAGATTGCTTCTCATAGAAGTTCTGGAAGCTTTCCTTAGAACTAGGGCTGGGCCCCTGCCCTTGATTGCTAACCAGATCTAGATCAACTAAAATTTATTTTTATCATGTGGTTGTAAGAATATCTAAATCACCCAGAAAAGCTAATAATAAAAGCAATAGTCCCAAGTCCTTGCAAAATGTTTCCCAGGTGAGTCCACTCCTAATTCTTTTGGCACTTTCTTCTGGCATGAAGTTCATATCCCTTAGTGTGCTGATATTTTAAAATCGATCTCTTTTGCTGGGCATGGTGGTACATACCTATAATCCAGCTACTCAGGAGAGACAGGAAGGAGGATCAAGGTCTGAGCCCAGCCCAGGGAAAAGTATGAGATCCTATCTGACAAATAACTAAAGCAAAAAGTGTTGGGGGTGTGGCTCAAGTGGTAAAGCACCTGCCTAGCAAGTATGTAGGCCTAGATGTTCAAACCCCAGTAGGGCTAAAAAAAGCTCATGTGTAGACCCCAAAGCTCAAACCAGTTGCTCACTGGGTACCTTTTTCTACGAATGAGATCTGTGGAGCTGTGACCTCAATGGCAGCAGAAAAAAAAATTATATTTATTTCAATTCTTCTTAGCTTAGTGGTAAGCCTAAAGCTCTAGCAATATCTAATTGGTTTCTTAAGAGCAAAAAGTCTGATGAAGAAAGTGACCTTTGCATGTAGACCTGGGGAGCCAGCCCTGCAGAACTCTGGGAACAAAGGGTCCAGGTAGACATAATGGTATAATATCATTTCAAAGGAAGTGATAATCAAATGTATGGAAATTTTAGCCAGATATTACATCGAACTCTACTTCCTCTACTTGGTAGTCATAGTAACAAATGATTCACAGAAGGACTTCAAGGAGTGGGGAGGAAAGGACAGAGCACAACCTAAGTGGCTTGTACCTGTGCCCAGGTGGCTTGACCTGCTTCTCTAGGTAGGTGGCGATCATTCCCTGGTGGAGTAACATGGCCTCTGCTGTCCATCTCAGGATAAAGGAGGAGTGGAACTTTGTGTATGAGTGCAGGAAGAAAGGCATCCCCCAAGCCCAGTACTGCAAGAATGGCGTCATTGACACCAGCGTAAGGCTTCTGGACAAGATCGAGAGGAACTCTCGTGAGAGGCAGAGTGCACTTGCCAAGGACAGAGGCAAACCGAGCAGTCCGTTTGTGTTTGAGCTTTCAGGCGAGCACTGGAAGGTGAGTCAAGGTGTTTGTCTGTCTGCAGCAAGGGGATGCTCACTGCAGCATGGCGGCTGATGTGCTCTGCTAACCTGAGCTTGGGCCTTGGCCGTGGCTAAATGAATGCTCTGGCCTTGAGAGAGCTTTCCAATGGGTGGGAAGGAGCCCATTATACTAGCTCTGATTCTTCTTCCATGAAACCCAGCATAGTCCTGGGAAGACCAATAGGGTCCGCTTGGATCCCTCCAAGGCTGGGCAGCTGGGACCCCTGTGGCTCTCCCCAGTATGGCATGGTCCTTAAAGATGTTTAATTCATCAGTTTCTCTCTGTTCCCCCTCCCTAGACACTTAAATGACTCTTGTCTTTAAAAAAAATTTCAGTTAAGCTAGGTGCTGTTGGCTCATGCTTGTAATGCTAGCTATTTGGGAAGCTGAGAGCAGAAGGATCAGTGTTCAAGGCCAGCTGGGGCAAATAGTTTGCAATAGCCCTTCTCCAAAATAACAGAGCAAAATGGACTGGAGGTGTGGCTCAAGTGGTAGAGCGCCTGCTTTGCAAGTGTGAAGCCCTGAGTTCAAAACCCAGCCCAACAAAAATCAAACAAAATATTTCAGTTAAATGACCAAATCTTTTATTCACCTAATACCCCTTAGTGGGCAGTGCCTTACCGACTGTCGCAGTGCTGCAGCCTGGCCCAGGAATTTCTGCAGACCCTTTTGCAGTAGTACTGTCCCCAGATTCTGAGGCCAAAACAAGATGTCTCCAGCGTATGTCCCTGCTCCTGGTCCCACACTTGCAGCCTTGCTGGTGGGCAGGGCCAGGCGGGGTGGGGGTGGCATATCTCTGGGGTGGTTTGTGATCTCGTATTTCTGAGTGAAATGGAATCTGGCATGCAGGGTAAGGGTGTGTTTGGAAGCTGCCATGGGCAAAGGAAGGGGGCTGTTGCCTGTTTCAGAGGGATAGGGTGCAGTTAATTCTTTGGGTCTCCTGCCCTCTGGCTCTTTTGATCCTGTCATTTTGTGGCTAAAAGAGTGTGGGACAGTGTATTAGTTACTTTTCTTGTCACTGTGACAAAATAATTGACACAAAAAACCTTAAGGAAGAAAGGGTTTATTTTGCGTATGGTTTTGGAGGATTGAGGCTGTTACTGGAAAACCAGTCCCCTACTATCAGTGCCAATTTACCATTTATAAATAACAAAAACAGGGTTTTGAGGAAAAGGAAATAAGGTTTATTACTCATCAGATGAAGAGGAGGACAGGGAGAGTCAACTTCTCACAGCTCTGTTGTCCCACTTCTGAGAGAAAATGTTCACCTTTTAAAGGAGAGTTCAGGGGCTTAGCTTGACCGCGTGCCTAGATGCATGCTCACCATGGCTGCTGGCCGTTTCTCCAGGTGTGTGGCACCACTTCTCTAAAGCTGTCTTGGCTGGTAGGTTTACTTCTCTGGTGGTTAATAAGATATAAGGGGTAAGAACTGCCTGGTCTAATTGAAGAGCAAAGGGAGTTAACTTTGGATTCTCCAGCATGTAGGCAAAGAGGGGGAAGATGTCAGTGTAATCAATAGAGTAAACTGCCAGCAGCAAGCTGGCTAAACAAGATTTTTTTCTTTTGTGGTCCTTGTTACAAGGCCACAGTCCTTGGCTCCATGCACTTGGGCAGAACATCATGGCAATGGGAGGGTGTGGTGGAGAACATTCTTTACCTCATGGTAGACAGGAAGGAGAGAGAGGCCAGGGACTAGGATAACCCTCAAAGGCATGCCCCCTAGGACCTATTTCCTCTAGCTAGGCCCTACCTCCTAGAGCTTCCAAACCATAACAGATGGTTTGATGAATGAATATTTAGGTTGATTCTGGGGCTGTTTTTGTAAGTCATGTGACCTGAGCAACTCACTTGTCTTGTATGGATTTTATCATCCTCATCAGTAGAAGGTGCTCATGCTTCTCTGAGTCCCTCTCAGTAGATTTTCTGTGATTATACAGTTCTCCAAAAATGGACGAGATTATTCTTGAAAATCCCTATGCTATTCTTTCTCTCATATCCCCCTCATGGAGATCAGTAGGTACACAGAGGTGGCCTATTCTGGGGCATGAAGGAAGGCAGGTTGGGACTTTGGATGAAAGGTCATTGGCAAATTACTTTCATGTCAACAAACATGGGCCTGGGCTATGCACTTATATCACAGTGGTCTCCAGTCTACCTGCAGAACTTGCAACAGGCCCTGGTGGATCACAAATACTTTTTTTTTGATGGGGCTGGAGTTTGAACTCAGGGCTTTGCACTTATAAGGCAGGTACTCTACTGCTTGAGGCATACCTCCAGTCCATTTTGCTCTGGTTATTTTGGAGATGGGGGTCTGGTGAACTATTTGCCCAGGTTAGCCTCAAATCTTGATCCTCCTGATCTCAGCCTTCTGAGTAGCTAGGATTACAGGTGCGAGGCACTAGCACCTGGCTCAATTTCCTTGATTTTTACATAACAAGACATTCTAGGATGTTCCCCATGTTATTAAAAATAGTTATGAGCATAATTTTAGGAGATACAGTAACTTTCAAGTAGGCCATATTGAAAGGATGAAATAAGAAAAATCATTTACGGGGTGCCAATATGTTGAAACCTCAATAAAGAGAGTGTGGTTATGAATCTGAGGCCAACTTCCTGGTGTCCACCTCCTTCCTCTTTTCCTCCCAGCCCCAGGAGGCAAACTGTAGGTTCACCCTTCCACTGGAGGAGTGGAGGCTGTTTGCCAGGGTTGAGTGATGGGGGCAGGTCATAACCAGGCAATCAGCTGGAAAGCAGTCACACAGGCCCTGTGCTCAGAAGTGCCTTCTGCTGGCTTAACTCTGCTGTCACCATCTTGAAATTCTCAGTTTTTTAGCAAGTGACTCACTTTGTCATTTCGCACCAGTGTATAGCTGGTCCTTACTGTATGTGATTCCTTCATTTCAACATCTTTGAAGCTCAGTTTTCCTCTTTCAAATGGATCTTGATAATGACCACTTTGCCTACCCATAGCACTGGTGTGTGAAATAGTGCCAGAGTGAAAGAGACTGTCACAGGTTAAAAGCCTGGCCTCCATATCTCAGCCATGACCATGAAGCACGTTATGTGTACCCAGTGCTATACAAAAGATTTCATGTGGACATTTAATGCCTCCTTCTGAAACTGGAGTTTTGGACCCAAGGCCCAAACTCCTGAGATTCCATATGCCAGATCTGGCCACTGCCCCTAAATGCCAAAGAAAGAGGCCTGGTGAAGGCAGAGAAAGGAGGTTTATTACACAGCTCGGGCATGCCTTGGGAAGAGGCAGAGTAAGCGCTCAGCTCATCCTCAACCATCTTCAGGGTACAGACACAAGCTATAGCTTTAAGTAGACAAAAGAACTGGAGGCAGGGGACAAAGGTATGCATAGCTAAACAGTCCCAGTCACAGGTGTGTTCTGGTTGACCATATCTCAGTCCAAGGGTTCCCAGAGGGGTTCTGGAAGTTGTTATCCTGACTTATTGTCAACTGGCAGGTGTTCCATCCTGAGGAAGGTCTACTGTTGGGAGTGGTTTCTGTGCCTTGTCATGAAGATGTTATCATCTGTTTTTCCCAGAATCCAAAATGATTGCAAATTGACTGCAAAGAGAATGGCTTAGAGCAAAGACTGTTACAAAATGGAGGCAGGGATGCCAACCTTCTCCTGTTATTAGTTAATTTGCGGGCCCAAGTAAGGAGTCAGTGGTTTTCAGCAAAAGCAGTTTAAGCACCTCTTAGACTTCCCTGTGAGCTGACCTCACACTGTGGTGTGCTCTACCCTCCCTGTTGTGCTCTGGTCGCTTTGCTGATGGGTGCTGTGCTGAGCTTCCTGAGCTCAGGGGCTCTGTGCACCCCATCAGTGCTGAGCACTTCCTTTGCAGCAGGACTCAGAAAACACTTCGTGGATTGGATTTCTTCAGCTGGACAGACGTCCTTAGTCACTTCTCAATGCTTTTATGATCTCATCCCAGCACAGCTGAGCTAGGGGGAGGCCTTGGCTGCTGCTGTGTCCCCGTCATCAATTCAGAAGCCAGGACCCAGGGACCCCCTGCACCTGGGAGACAACAGAACTGAGGATGGAACTCAGGGCTCCCTGCACACTGCACTTTTCTCCTACTCGTTCCCCGCTACAGACTCATAAACGTAAAAACATTTGGAAATTTCATTCATCAAACACTAAATATTTATCACATATTTCTAAGAGCAGCTATAGAGTAAGAAAAATGCAACACAAATTTCACAATGGAGTACCTGGGTAAATTTTATTTTTAGAGGATGTTAAGTTACTGTGTTGTAGATAAAAAATTGAGTAAGCCTGATTATCTGTGTTCACTAGGATTTGATTTTAAGAACATCTTGACTTTGAAATGGGGCTAATCTGTTCATTCATGACTCCACAGTGTCTTTGGGGTTCTTTAGAAATGGCTGGCACAGTGGCAGTTAAGCCTAATGCTCTCCTGCAGGTTTTTTCCTGGGGGGCAGTACTGAGGTTTGAACTCATGGCCTCGCACTTGTTAGGCAGGTGCTCTTACCACTCTGCCAGCCCTTCTCTCCCATTTTGATTTTTGAATAAATGCTTGGCTTCCTGGGACTGGTTTCAAAGGATGTCACTCATTTTGTTTTAGGAGCTGCCTGATTCCTTGAAGGAGCAGACACACCTCAAAGAATGGCACATACACAACACCCTAATTCAAATCATTCCTGCCTACATCCAGCTGTTTCAAGCCATGAGAATTCTGGATCTGCCAAAGAACCAAATCACTCACCTTCCAGCTGAAATTGGTATGTTACTGAGCAGGAACTGTCAGGCCTCTCGTCTGTGGGAAACAGGTAGCTTTTTAGCAGGTGACACTGCAAATATTGTGTCTCCCTCTAACAGCCCCAGGACATTTCTGGGCTATTTCCAGGGTCCCCAGAGTTGCTTGTTTGCAGTGTCCCCTTTGGGCTTCCATGGTGTGATCTCACCCGCATAACTCCACATTTGCAGACATTTGACCATCACTCAGAAACCAAAAAGTCACAAGTCAGCAATGCTTTGGTTAGGAGCCTGTTGTTTATTTTCTTTTAGTTTTAGAAATACAGATATGCAATGAAAACATTGTTGTAAGCATGGAACCAGATGTATTTTATCTATATGTTAGTCCATTAATTGATTTAGTTTAGCTTATTGTCTTTTGATTGATGAAAAATTTGCAATTCTCAATCATTTCATTGTTTAGTTCTATCATCTTTCAGGATTTTTTTTTTTTGGAACTGGGATTTGAACTCAGGGCAGTTGTATCATCTTGATGCCATGATTATTGTTGCCTTTCTCTCTCTCTCTCTCTCTCTCTCTCTCTTTCTCTCCTTTCTTCTTCATTCTTACCTCCCTGCCTTTCCTTTTCTTTCTTTTTTTTTGAGATAGGATCTCACTAGGTAGACCAGCCCAGACTTGAACTCATGATCCTCCTACCTCAGCTTCCTGAGTGCTAGGATTACAGGCATGTACCACCATGTCCGTCTTGCTGTTGTGTTGCAGGAGGGTTCAGACAGAGACTGAGAGGGCACCAAAGCTTTTGGGAAGCAAGTTTATTAAGCAGGCCAGCAGCAACTCTGCAGATTCGAGTATAAAAGCTGAGCCTCAAGAACAAAGAGGGCCTTCCTTGTATACCATTTAAAGCAGGTTACAGAAATTGCGGGGGAGATACAGTGTGTCCCATACATAACCACATGTCATTACATTGGCTGCTCTAACCTCTGGGGCGAGGTGACCCTTCTCTGGTCTCCAGGTAACATTCCCCAACTCCAGTTTAGTTTTGTTTCACTATAGCACTCATCATCTCCCTTCCCCCTCCCTGCCTTCCTGCCACAGTTGCCTTTCTTGTTCGTGGGGTGCGAGGAATGAAGTTCTAGAGCTGCATAGAGCTCCACTTTCACAATACGTATCTTAGAACCAGTGGCATGGCACACTCATGTGAAAATTTACCAGAAGCCAAGACAATATGGGGTGGAGAGTGGCTCGCTGGGCCTCTGAGTTCATACATGGGGATGTCATTCATACAAGGCCCCGATCACCCTTTTACCCAGGCAGATCTCAGGGTTGTTTGTGCAGCTGGTAACTTTGAGGGATGAGATGATGTCTACCCTCTCCCAGACAAGGACAAGACCCGCTTGCTGTAAAGGTGTTGGTTTCCCCAAGCTCGGTGGTCTTCAGCTGCAACATGCTACGTGGGCAGCATCTCCCTGGGCTGTGTGCACCCCTGGGTGGACCTGACTGTAAGGGGACTGAGGTAAATATACTGCTGGAACAGGCAGTGCTCTAGCAGGGTAGAGTCAAAGTCTGTACCAGACAAGGGCAAGCACCATCTTTGACCCATTAGGGTTATTTTCCTTTTACCCCTCATTACCTGACTTAGCCACTCTCTCTCTCTATGTTATTTATATATATATATATATTTTTTTTGGCGCTCTGCTCTGCGGTTTCCTCACCTGTAACATGGGGATTGTGGCGTACTTCATTTAGTTGTCGTGAGGATTAGATAAGGTTAGCTAACCCATCAAAGTATTAGGCACATACTTCTTTCGTTATTCCAAGGCACTCCAGTCCAGTTGGAGACATATCATCACCGCTTACCTCACTCATGTGCAGAGAAAAATATTGCACACCGAGGGACAGACTGTACAGTCCAGATACTGTGTAAGCACTGTTTACGGACTCCTGAGCATCAAAACTGCACATATTCTGTGGAGCTATGTCTGTTGATAAATATGTGTCTTTACACAAATGGGCTTACCCAGTGTTCTGTGGTCCATCCTCTGTGTTTCCCTCAATCATAGTGTAAAGATGGAGGTGGACTCCAGACTCAGGCACACTGGCCTTCTCTTGCAGCCTGGGTAAGTCTCTATGTGACTGAGTGTCTCCTCTGGCCCTGATCATGTCCTTCAGCTGTTCCTGGTGTCACCTGTGGCAAAGAAGCCCAGAGATCCCAATCAGCCTAATGTCTGACCTAATTCTCAAAGCTGGATACCGTGGTCCCCCCATCACAACCCAGTAAGTGTGAGTGATGGCAGCATGGCTAAACTGGCCACTGAGCCCTCCCTGTCCCTCCTCCCACGCAGTCTACTCTGTGAGGCTGCTGACTTTCCCTCACTCCACTTCCCAGCTGGAGGAATTTGACTTTGATAGCTTGGGGCTGGTTTTCTCATTCAAGGTGAAGGGCACAGTCTTCCTCTGCTCACTTGCCAGCTCTGTGCTCCCTCCCCTCTCCCTGGCCACCCTTAGCACAGCCCTCTCCCTAGCTTTCCTTGCAAGTTCAGGGCCCCCAGTGATGAGACCTGGGGTACCCTGTGGCACCTCTAATTCCCGACATCATGCCTGTTTCTTTGCAAGTATGGGTACTTGACATGAAGCCATTGATACCACATATCTTGGAGGTCAACAGGGCTGTAGACCTCTATCCACCTGACACTATCTGTGCTGTGATGTGAGCAGTATCCTGTTTACGTATCAGCACAGAGGGCACTGCAGCTGGACAAGAGCTGGGTGTTAAGCCAACACATTTGATCTACCATCGAATTTAATTATATGCATTGCTCTACGACATACATGTCTTACAGATGAGGAAATCAGGGTTTATAGAGGTTAATGAATGTGTCAGTATGACATGGCCAAAAAGTGACAAAGCCACATTCAAAGTCAGGTTTGGTGATCACAAAGGTGGACCTAGGTGGGAAGGGGTACGTGTTTTTTAATTTTTTGTTAATTCCTTTTCTAAATAGGAGACGTCTTGTCTTTCTTGGGATTGGTGGAGATGAGGTCTGACTCCACGGGCTTTGGTTGAGGGCATGTGCCAACCCCCGGGAGTTCTATGAAGCATGCCTTGTGTGGTGGGTGGGTAGAGGCTCAGGCATGGATGAATGGGCTGTCCCAGCCTTGAGGAGGGGATCTGATAGCTTAGTGAACCAGTCTTCTCTTTTGTCGTCCTCTCCCACACGCTTGTGTCCCCAGGCGTGCCACTTAGCCCTAGTTTTCCTTCTATTCTGGGCCTGACTGATTGAATCACTGAGGTTCTGTCCATCAGCCTTGGAGGTGGCTTGGTTTATGAAAGCACTGTGAGGTGAGAGTGCTGCATGTCCTCACCTTCCCTACTCTAACTAGCATAGGCTTCCTTTCTAGGGCAGAGGCTTGTGTGCATGTGCGTGTGTAACAGATGGCTCGGCTGACTGCCTCCTGACCATCTGGGCCATTGGATTGGGAAGCCTGGCATCCTATTTTTTCACCCAGGCCCCTCAGCTCGTGGTCCCATTCCCTGAGCTGCAGGAATTCAGGGCAGATGAATGCAGGAAAAAGAAAAGACATTTTTCTCAGCTCTTTCCTTTGAGAGGAGAAAAAGCTTCAAACACAGTTGAAAGGACTTAGGGGGGCGGGTGCTCTTCTCCCCATTCCAAAAGCTGACTTCTGCTGGGTGCACACTGCATGCCTGATGTTTGGCACACTTCTTATAATCACTTCCCTTATTCTTCACAACATTCTGATGAGATGACTACTCTACTCTGATTTTCCAGATGAGGAAATTGAGGTATCAGAAGATTTATTAAGATGCCTAGACACTCAGTTCACAAGGGGTGAAGCCAGGGTTTGGGTCTATCAAATCTGACTTATGGAAGAATGGCAGCCTAAGGATAACCTTGAGTTCACTGAATTTTTAATTTTTTGTTCAACACAACTCATTCTCAAATCATTAGAATATTACTTGCATTCTAATCAGAGGTGACTCTCATTGGGTCATGGTGTCACTGAGAACTTCTGAGACATCTCATTTTATCCTCATTAAGCACTTGTAAGAAGGGATTATCACAGTCATGTACTGTGCTTATGTGGTTATGGTGAGGATCCAGTTGTTTCTTTGCTTAAATACAGAATTAAAACTTTGAAAATGAACTTTAAAACCTTCTGTTAATTTTATTTTTCCTCACATTTCTAAGTTCTGCACACCTCCCTTCCTGCCTTTGCTTATCTCAGGTTTCCTCTTAAGCAAAGCCCTTTTGTTCACACATAGCTCCCCCTTCTGGCCATAAGGCTGCCATGTGCTCTCAACCTCTTCCTGTGTCATGTTTGCAAAGCTTGTTTGCAGGCACACGTCATGGAGTCCTGTTTTATTTGGTCATCTGAACTGGCTTAACTACATAGTTATCCATAAACCCATTTGTTCAATACACATTTATTGAGCACCTATTGGGTGAAAATAGAAAAATATGTGGGTACTTATTTTATGCTAGGTACTATACCAGGCCCTATAGAAAAAAAACAGTGAGCAAAATACACAGTCTCTCTCCCCATGGAGCTGATTGTCTGGTAGGAGAGACAGAAGATAATCAAAGTATTGTCAACAAACATAAAAGGTGGCCACTGTGCCAAAAGCTGTAAAGGAGTAGTATTTGGAGAGCTGTGAGCCTGTAGGGGTGAGTTCTCCCTCACAAGGAAGGCAGAGGGAGTGGCAAGGAGCAGGACCAGGTGCGTGCTTGTGACTCTGAATAAGGTACTAATCCTTGTAAGACTCTGCTCCCACGACTGAAGGCTAGAAAGTCCTAAATTAAAGTGTAATCAAATCCATGAAAGCAATCTGTCATCTATCATGGGCTCTGCACTGAAATATAAGGTACCATAACTGACCGTTTAAAACTGTGTATGGAATATAAGTATCGATCTCTTTAGCAACTCTAGGTTTTCTAGGAATATTTCAAACCATGATGCTGGACTCTCCATTTGTACTCCTGTTATAAATAAACAGAAATGAAGCCCCTTGGAAACCCTGGTCCTGAGGAAATTTGAATATGTGACCATGTGGGGTAGGGCATCTCCCTGCTGAGGAGGATAAGGCTCAGTGAGTAACTGGCTAGCCTAAGGATATTCATTTATGTGAGGAGGAAGTGTTTTTGGATATCCAAAGCTTTGTTTGCTGGGGTGGTGGGTGATGGCAATGCATGACCCACCACGAGCAGGAAGCTGGAGAGCTGATGTCAGTGTCCCCCACCCAAGTCCTGGCCAAGAGGTGGGGGATGGTAACTGCTTAGAGAAAGATTGATGTTCAGGACAAAAGACGAGTAGACATTTGGTAAGGAGTACTTGAAAATACTAAATTATTGTTAGTGGTCTCCTACGCCCACTAGCTGGGGCTCCTGATGTACGTGATGGAGAAAGCTGAGCCCTTCTTGCATGAGTGATGGCAAATTCTTGCCATGCTATTGAGAAAGAAAAAGCCGTGTTCATACAGTGAAATCAGGCAGTGTGGGTGTGAGAGGACGGGGTCACAATGATCTGAAGACAAGCGTATCGTTTCTTTGACCTACCAATTATTAAAATCCTGATTTGAACATTTCAAGAATGTATATAGATATTGAAAAATCACATGTACAATTTTATAGGTCAATTAAAAAACCAAATAACAATAATGAAAAGTTGTTTGGTGAAGAATTTCTGAAGCTGTTACTTTTTCTTTGACTATCTTTAAGAAGAAGCTAGAACAACATGAGACTTTCTCATCAGACTCTTCGTTCTCTCTTTGTAACCCCTAGTGATTGTTAAATGCATATATGATTGGTACAAATGTGTTGGAGCAAATGCCTCCATCAACCAGGTCATATAACTCTTTTTTTTTTTTGTGGCAATATTGAGGTTTGAACCCAGAGCCTCATGCTTGCTAGGCAAGCATTCTACCACCTGAGCCACATCTCCAGCACTTTTTGCTTTAGTTATTTTCCAAATAGGGTTTTGCATTTTTGCTCAGGCCACTCTGGGACCATGATCCTCCTACTTACGCCTCCTGTGTAGTTGGGATCACAGGTGTGTGCCATCACACCTGACTTGTTCTTGAGATAGGATCTCATTAACTTTTTGCCTGGGCTGGTCTTGACCTTCAATTCTCACAAACTCCATCTCCCCAATAGCTGGGATTATAGGTGTGAACCACCACGCCCAGCTCATGCAACTCTTTAACAGTTAGATTTACTTTGTTGTATCCAAAAGCTAGACACATATGGGGCATTCACACCATCCGTGCCCATCTTCTACTTTCCTTATTTAAACTAAAGAAAGATTCTTCAATACATAGGCTTGCAGAAGCTGAAGCTATGGTGGTCAGCAAGTCATCTGATCATGCACCCCCCAGTCCTCTGCGGAAAACAGTTTCCTCATTTTATTTTTGCCCCCTTATCCACTCTGCTGCTTGGACATGATTACTGATCACAGGCGTGCCAGGTGCATCAGGTGGGTAGTTAGGGAGGCTACTGGTGTTCACATCACTAATGTCACCTTCTAATGAAACATGAGAACCAATAAAGCCGATGAGAAATAGCCCTGTCTCCAATGTACTTTCTTTGTGTGACTTACTGTGTCATTTATAAAATGGCAAGAAGTTTGTAGATTGAATGCCTGTCCTGCAGAAGTAAGTAGTCATTTTGGTTTTCTAATTTAAAATAAGAATGATGAGGCATTCCATTCCTTAGGCTATGCATGACATGATTTTTGGAAAATTATCTATATTTGATCTTTTGTGACTTTCGAGTCTGAGAATGAGTATAGTGAGTGAGTATGTATATATTCAACCAAGAATGGACTGGCAGAGTGGCTCAAGTGGTAGACCACCTATCTCATAAGTGCAAGGCCCTGAGTTCAAACCCCAGTACCACTGTCCCCCTCACCCCCAAAAAACCCCAGGACTGGGATAGAGCATTGCATGTCTCAACCAGTCCAGTTATTTCCTGTTATTCTGAACGTGTTCTCATCCTGCAAATGAAAGTGATTTATACCACCTTCTTAAGGAAGCATGATATGTCATAATTAAATTAATGCAAATTTGAAGCCAGAGAAGAATGGTGACTTGCCTGCAATCTGGAACTACTTGTCTGAATCATTTATCATGCATATATCAATATCTAGTCACCTCCCATGGGACCCAGCGAGAGGCAGCAGCTGGTCACTGTGATTCCTAGGCGCTTCATAGGTTCTCACCACCATCACCTATGATTCAATTCACCATGTAATTTCAAAGGAGTTTGAGCTCTGTGGATGCTGGGCCTGACCTGGGCTACATGGAAAACAAATCCTTTCCACTCAAACTTGTCTATAATTTCACAAAGGATTAAGCAATTAAATAGTGAGCAAAACAAACAAATAACTCCCCACAAAACCACAACAGTATCTACAATAAAAGTCTCAAGATAGAAAATGAGCAGAGTTAAGAAAGAATGCTTAAAAGACAAGCACAAAATTATGTTTTGGACCTTTCCCATCATTATTTATGCAAATGTTTTGCCTCTTAGGTTTGTTTGTGTTCTTAAAGCCTTGGAAGGACCTACTCAATGTTGGTTAACTTTTTCTGATATCAGGCTGTTTGAAGAACCTGAAAGAACTCAATGTGAGTTTCAATCATCTGAAGAGCATTCCTCCAGAACTGGGAGACTGTGAAAATCTAGAGAGACTGGATTGTTCTGGAAATCTGGAATTGATGGAGCTCCCCTTTGAAGTAAGAAATAAATACACACTATGACTTACTTTTATTTGACTTATGACATGGAATGGTCCATTTTTTTTCTGTTGATGGTGGTATTGGGGTTTGAATGCAGGGCCTCCAGCTGACTAGGCAGGTGCTTTACCACTTGAGCTATGCTCCCAGCCCTCTTTTTACTTCTAGTTATTTTTGGATAGGGTCTCATGTTTTTTGCCCAGGATGAGCCTTGGACCAAGATCCTCCTACCTTTGTCTCTCACTTAGCTGGAATGACAGGCACATTGTATCATGGGGATTGTTAGTTGAGATAGGATCTCTCTAACGTTTTTGCCCAGGCTAGCCTCAAACCATGAGACTCCTGATCTCAATCTCCCAAGTAGCTGGGATTACAGAGCTGAAGCACTAAGCCCTGCTAGTGGTTTTAAAACAAGAAGTTTTAAAAGATAAAACCCATTACATTTCCCTGACATTCTAATCACCCTATACCTACTATCATACAGTCTTTAAAAATATTATTACACTAGACCAGGACCTGAATTTAAGTTTAGAAATGCAATCAAAGGAAAAGCAACCAAACATCTTATTTTCACACAAGATAGTTTAATTTAATGCCTATTTAATCTGATGCCTGTTACCAGTAATGCAGGTCCTGATGTATTTATTCACCACAGTGAGGCTGTTAATCTCTGCTTCTACTCTCACCCCAGGTAACTGTGGCTGTAGTTTATGTCTCTGTGCATTTGTCTTTTCAGGAAATTTCAGGTAACTGGACTCACCCAATAGTCTTCTGAGTCTGGCTTTCTTCACTTAACTTTCTCTCATTAAATTTATTTCTAGGTTTCTGAGTGCTGTTGTGAATGAAATTGTTCTCTTATTTCACTTTCAGATTGTTTGGCATCTAGAAGCAAAATTGATTTTTGTACATTGATTTTGCTTCTTGCAACTTTGCTAAATTCTTACTAGGTTTTTTTTTTTTTTTTTTTGGTGGTGGTAGTACTGGGGTTTGAACTCAGGGCCTCACACTTGCTAGGCAGGCACTGTACCACTTGAGCCACTCCACCAGTGGGTATTTTTGAGATAGGGTCTTCTGAACTATTTGCCTGATCTCTGCCTCCTAAGTAGCTAGGATTATGGGCGTGAGAACTCGGTGCCTGGTGAAGCAAGGTTATTTTTTGATCAGTTGAAAACGTTGTGACAAGGGGCTTGTAGGAAACTATTCCTGTGTTTTCCTTAAGAGCAGTTATTTAGTATTTGCTATTTTAGTGTTTATGGTAACATTTTTGCAACATAACTGTCATGGAAAATGAGAATTGGTTATTTATCAATTAGGTCAAGCTGGTTGTTCACATTTCCTACATCCTTGCTAATTTTTTGTCTAGTTATTTTATCAGTTATTAAAGTGGGTGTTGAAATATCTAGCTAGAATTATTGATTGTCTCTTCAGCCTTTTAATTCCATCAGTTTTTGTTTCATGTATTGTGGGTTGTTGGGTGTGTACACTGTCATTGTTTGGCTCTTTTATCATCATGATATGTCTTGTTATGTCCCTGACAATATTTCTTTTCTTAAATGTAATTTTGCCTGATATTAATATCATATAGTTCTCTATAGCTGTGTTTTGTATTATATATACTTTTCCATCTTTCTACTTTCGACACATTTATATCTTTAGTCTAAAAATTTGTCCTTGTAGTTATCATATATTTGGATTCTTTTAAAAAACAAAAATCTGCTTTTTGCCTTGGCAAGTATGTCATTTTATTTCTCCTGCTGAATTACTATTTTTTTAGTTTTGTTTTTTTGTGTGTGCGCTTGTTCTAGAGATTACATTTACTTCTTAATTATCACAGTCTACTTCAGATTAATACTAACTTAATTCTGGCAAAATATAGAAACTTTGCTTAACGTGACTCCACTTCTCCGACACTTTGTATGACGATTATCATGTCCATTACACCTACACATGTCATAAACCAAAAAGTATAGTGCTGTATTTATTGGTTAATATGTGTCAAACAAGTTAGAAGAAATAAGAAAAAAACACAGACTCTTTTATGTTAACCTATATATTCACCATTTCCTAGATTCTTTATGTTTTCTGTGGACTATCCATAACCTCTCAGGTCATTTTCTTTTGACCTCAGAGGTTGTCTTTGATAGTTCTTATAAGGAAGTCTGTTAGCAACAGACTCTCTTAATCCTTGACTTTCTGGAATGTTATTATTTCACCTCTATTTTGGAAGGATTGTTTTTCTGGATATAGAATTATTGGTTGACAGTTCTTTCAGTATCTTGAATGTCATTTCATTTCTCTGTCTTCTGTTGTTTCTGAAGAGAAGTCAGCTGTTAATCTTATCAGTTCCCTCCTATTCTTATGATGTGTCCAGGTGTGGATTTCTGTCATTGTTACACTAGGAGTTCATTGAGCATCTTGGATGTGCATATTAAATCTTTCATCAAATTTAGGACGTCTTGGCAATTATTGCTTCATATTTTTTCCTGCTCATTCCTGTCTCCCCTCACCTCTAGTGCTCCTACTAAATTTGTGTTAGCATATTGATATCCTACAGGTCCTTGGGGATTTGTTCATTTTTATTCAATCCTTTTCTCCACTCTCTCTTCTTTAGGTTGGATAATTTCTGTGGATGTATATTTACTAATTCTTTCTTGCACCACTGTCAATCTGCTGTTGGGCTCCTCTAATGGATTTTTGATTTCAGTTATTTTATTCCTCAATTTTAGAATTTGTTTCTTTATAATTTCTATATGCTTATTGAGAATCTCTATTTGTTAATTCATTTAACCTTTGACCTGCTTTGTTTCTCATCATGGCACAGATATTTTAACTTATACTCTTTTTAGCCAGGCGCTGGTGGTGGCTCATACCTGTAATCCTAGCTACTCAGGAGGCAGAGATCAGGAGGATTGCCATTCAAAGCCAGCTCGGGTAAATAGTTTACAAGACCCTATCTTGAAAAAAAACTATCACACACACACACACACACACACACACACACACACACAAAGAGCTGGCAGAGTGGCTCAAGTTGTAGGCCCTGCATTCAAGCCCCACTACTGAAAAAAAAAATGCAGTTAACTTATACTCTCTTGGCTTATTGCCCCTTCCACCAGTCTTGTATGAGAACAAGTCTTTGCCTTATTTACTTACTCTCTAAAAGGTGCTCTGAACGTAGTATGGTGTGGGCGCTTGCTAAATATTTGTCGATTGAGTGAATGAATGGATGAACATTAGATTGAGTTTAAAAATTCAAAAAAGTTTTACCACATCTTTCTGTTTACAAGTCTGCCTTGGTGCATTATTACCTAGCATTTTTAATCTGACCTTTAAAATGGTATTTTACTTATGGATTCCAAACTCAGCCCTGGTCAGCTCCAGTGTCTGTCCATGAGGAATCCTCTGCCTTAGCCACACTGTCCCAGCAAATAAGGACTTCCTCAAACCCCACCCCCTTGTGTACCTCTGCCTTTGTGGAATTTTTCCCGTCTTCATGACTATGTTTCTTACACAAATAATTAACACAACACTGACATAAAATAAAAATAAACAGTAAGTGAATGAATGATCTATAAAAGGTTCAGCAGAAGAATGAGCAGGAGTTCTGAGACAAACCCCAATTGTTCCTGTGCGAATGAGCTGACTGATCCATATACTGGTGGATTTTCTAACAATTATAGTTACTTTTCAAAAGATTTTATGATTGTTTTCCTTTTTCCTCAATGAACATAGCTAGTGGGAAAATAACTTTCATATTCAAGTAATTTCTCTCCTTGCTAGTTAAACATGCTGCTGTGCTTTCCTTATTTTAGTTTTTATAAAACTCTTATTTCCTTTAAATCATCTCAGAAAAGTTATTTTTTGGTCTAAAACTGCATTTTCTAAGCTCGTTATAAAAAGAAAGAAGAGAGACTAATTGTATTCAGTCTTGATTTTCTTGCTGATCTGACAACATTGATGACAGTCAAAAGCTTTAGATTGTACTGTAACATCTAGCCATCTCTGGTTGACTACTCACCACATTTCTGTTGTCTCATTCACTTTTCTAAATTCCAAACAAGAACAAAATTACAGTGTACCTATTCACTAGGATACAACCGACCTTTGCACTAAGGCAAAGATATCATGATATGAAATTGGGATTTATGGTAAGATAAACAGAGGCATAGCTACTGCTTCTTTTTTCTCTGCATTTCAAAAATATCTCCCATAGGTTCAAATGACTTCATACTTCATAGTAGTGTTGAAAACATGTTTTGTGAAGCAGTCCCAGTTTTATTCATGGACTCTTAAAGTAAGTGAATAAAAAGTAGAATGTTTTATGTCTCATAGCAACTACCAAACTTTCATAACCAAATCTAAGCAATAAGACACTTTTCCCTATCTTATTCCAAATTCACAGATTTGCATTGAAGTAAAAAATGTATTTTTAAAAAAAGGCAGGGTGTGGTGGTGCATGCCTATAATTCCAGCACTTAGGAGATAAAGGCAAGAGGATCATGAGTTAGAGACCAGCCTGGGCTACATAGAGAGTTTGAGGCCCACCTGAACTACAAGTGAGACCCTATTTAAAAGGAAATCATTTGTGTATATACCCATGTATTTCAGTTAGCATATTAAAAACAAAAATTGTGGGTATAACAGTAGAGATGTCTGAGCATTTGCCATTGTCACTTTACCAACCCAAATGTGGGCCTCCTTAAGATTGGTCAAAATGATGCAGTTCTCCCCAGGCCATTCTGCTCTTGAAGACTTGTACTTTCCGCCTTCTGTGCCTTTGTACATGCTCTTCCTCCACCCGGGGTTTCCTTTCCTACCTTTCTACCTGCTGAGGGACCTCAGGACCCAATGCAGACACTCCATTCCCTGTGAAATCTTTTCTGATCCCTGACCCTTACAACACTGTGAAGTTGGGAAGATTTCTTTATGGCACCAAACATTGCAAACTGAAAACTTCTTCCTGTGGTTCTTATTGCATAAAATTGCTTCTTTATGAAAGTACAAAGTCCTTGTGGGCAGCTACAGTGTGTAATTTATCTCAGCATCCCTAGCAGGGAGCACAATACACAAGACACGGTAGATGGTCCAAAATATATAGGCACTGACCTGATTTGCATATATGCATAGAAATGCCTTTGAGGAAGAAGTGTCAATCTAAAAATTATCAGTTGAACTTAATTCTCACTCTTACAAGGGTAATTAGAATATTTTGTTATTCCTTTCTAGTTAAGTAATTTGAAGCAAGTTACATTTGTCGATATCTCAGCAAACAAATTTTCCAGTGTCCCCGATCTGTGTCCTGCGGATGTGTAATTTGCAGTGGTTGGATATCAGCAACAATAGCCTGAATGACCTGCCCCAAGATATAGACAGGTAGCTACTTGCATCCTAAGGTGAGGTGTATGAATTAGTTACTAACGCCTTAACAGTATCCATATTATACATACGTGTACAACGTGTGACTGTTCTTTGGAAATCAATTACTCTTCTAGAGTTTATTGTTTCTAAGGAAATTATTGAATAAGACAATTTCCAATCTGCACCCTACATCTCCATGTTTTTGGAATATATCTTCTTTGTTTTGATGAACTTTAATTTGTTTCAGTCTTTCATACAAAGTTCATTAACTTTCCTTTATTCCCTCAAGGTAGAAAAGAAAATTTACCACGTAGAATAGAAGCAGATCACTTGATGTTTAGAACATCAATGAGGACAATTTTTGCTAGTTTCGTTTCTTGATTAATTATACATATTTCAAAGAGAATTGACATGCTACATTATATTTTCAAATTATGTCCTTGTAGTTACTTCATATTTAAATTAATTATTACACTGAAACATGTAAAACTGATTGAATGATTGATCCATTTCACCATATTATTAGGCTCCTATATAGCAGCAAGTCCAGAGAGTGGCCTGGGTTTAAGGCTGTGACTGAAACACAATTTCTGGCCTCCTGGAGTCCACAATTTGAATTATAAAGAAGCACGAGTAAGCCAGGGATGTAGAGGCCAGTGATGGCTGAGACCTAAGTGCCACACCATATGACATTTCTCTAACGTTTGGTCCATATGCAGTATACCAGTGCTTTCTGGGTTAATGAGACTAGTTGGGAATTGTTTTAGTTTGCAATGTGAGAGGAACTTTGTGAAATATTTGTAGAATTAGTCAAGATTTTGCAAATGAATGAAAGAAAATTCTGGAAGAAAGACCACCAAGTTAGAATAACCTGGAAAGCAGAATAAAACATGTTTGCAACACATTTTGTTCATTGCCTTTTTACTCTGCAGTTTTCTCCCTGCTTTAAAGTTAGAGGATAACGATGGGAGAAGAATAACTGTGCTTTTAAGCTGCACAAAAGGAAATGTGTTGCCCACAAATACGTTTATTCCCATTCTAACTACAGTATGGTTTTGTTCCTGTGCCCTCTTAGCCCCAGGAAATCATGAGACACACGAAGGAAGGAATTTACTGATTTTTGGGGATCCAACATGGCCTACTGTCTGTTTTACCATTTGTTTCTCCTGCTGCTGTGTCTGTGTCTTCAGTTGACACTTAAGTCAGTAAAAATTTAAAAGAAAAACAAACCATGTCACCTGGCATGACTTTATTTGCTTATATAAAGTGTAGAGTAAGTTTGCTGTCATATGGATCACAGAGATGAAGTAGGCTAAGCAGGAGGCCCCTCCCGGAATTTGTTTGTGCTTCACTGCAGCAAAATCCCTGTTTTCTGACTGTCCTCACTTCTCCTTAGGCTGGAAGAACTGCAGAGCTTCCTCTTGTATAAAAACAGACTGACCTACCTTCCTTATGCTCTACTTAACCTCAAGAAGCTCACCTTGCTGGTTGTCAGTGGGGACCATTTGGTGGAGATCCCAACTGCCCTCTGTGACTCCTCAACACCTTTAAAGTGAGTAGACCAGAGACCTCCCTCAGAAACAGGTAGGGAGGCAGCAGGCTCTGGAGCCCAGGAGATGTTACCTACTTGCTGCAGGAGCTTGAAGGCTTTGGGCAAATGGCACAAGGAGGAAGAGCTCAGAGGATGTCCAAAGAAATGCTCCTGGGTGGGGAAGGCACAGGAGGACAGACGCTGGGACCCCTGATTTGTCACTCAGCATTTACCTCATGGCCCCTGGACGGGCCAGCCATTGTTCAAGTCACCTTTTGATTTCCTTAAATGAACCCAAAAACCACCCAAAACTGAGAAAAAACATCCATGTAAAGGTGATGCAATGCTCCAATTTGGGGTGAGAAATGGGATAGTCCTTCTTACCTCCCAAGTGGAGTTGAAAAGCCCCAGCTCTGCCCTTCCTTAAAATGACATCAAGGCAGCTGATGACTCCCTGGTAGCACAGCCTGCCAGAATTTGGAGCTTTGGGGTTTCCCCATCACCTCTAGCTTGAAATCCTTTTGGTCCATCCTCAGCAGGCTGGAGCCCCTCAGGAACTTTCACACCAGGATGCTCTAGAGACAACCACTTTCTCTCTGTGTCCACAAACTCATGTGCCTGCCACACCAAGGACTCCCATCTCTCTTTCTTTCTCTCTCTTTGTGGAACTGGGGTTTGAACTCAGGGCTTCACACTTGCAAAGCAGGTGCTCTATAGCTTGAGCCATGCCTCCAGTTTGACTCCCAGCTCTCTTGCTGGTAAATTCTCACTATCCCCACAGAGTTAAACCTTCCTCATCTCCCAGTCTGTGCAATAAGAGATGTGGCTGAGAAATACAGATGTTCATCTACTGCAAAGAGAAAGTCTGTATAAGCATGAGGTCAAAAAGGGGTTAGACATTTCCTCCCTGCCCTGTCCTGCTCTTTCCACTGGAATGGGGCTTTTGCTCTCCTTGGCTGTGTTAGGAGTGGTGTTAGGGTAAGAAGAGGCCTGCTGATGACAGGGCAGCAGGACCCTTCTGCATTTAGGCAACCAGGAGAGTATTGGCATTGTTGCATCTGAGATCAGTAAAACCATCACCTAAATTAAGGAATTTCAAATGATGTAATTGTAGATTTGGCAGGCTAAGAGAAGCAGGTGAAAACTCCGAATGAATGAAAATCCAATAAAGACTAGGTATAAGTTTGCATAAAATGATTAATAGTTAGCCAGGCACTGGTGGCTCATGCCTGTAATCTAAGCTACTCAGGAGGCAGAAATCAGGAGGATCATGGTTTGAAGCCAGCCAAGGCAAATAGAGCCTATCTTGAAAATGTCCAACACTGGGGGATTCCAAGATGGCGGCTAGAGGGAGGAAGCAGAAAGTGTGCCTCCTAAAGTGAAATCTTGGAGAGATGCTGGAGACACACCTTGCAGGCAAGGCCACTGAGAAGAGGCAAAACTTTGACCACTCCACACCTCCAGACTGTGCAGAGCATCTCCACTTCATGTTGAATGGAGGAGGGCCCCCGGGCTGCCACCAGTCGCCCGCCCCCAGACAGCTTGGGAAGACGCGGACAAGGTGAGCTAAGCAGTACGTGGTACTTCCACAGACAACCCTGGGCCAGATCAGCATAGCCCCCTGGACAGACCAACCCCCACCCGGGGAAAAAAGAGAAACTGAGTAATAAGCAATAAGAACAATAAAGACATGTAGCAAAGAGGGTGGGGTGCCCTGAGTGCTGAAGAAGGGGGGAGGGGAATCCCTCCCAGAACTGTAAATAAACAAGCCAGGCCTGGCTGGAGAGAGTGGGATCGGGGGCACGTGCCCAGCAACCAGGAGCAGGAAAGCTTGTAAAAGTGGCAGTGGGAGGAAAACTCCACAGGAGAGGGGGGAAGACCCACCTCCCACATGAACTGTAAACAAACATGCAGGCCTGAGAAAGTGGGTGCAGTGTCACCTCCCCCAGTGTGCTTGGAAAGGGAAAAGCTTGTAGCAGAGGCTCATGCACAGGAGAACTCTGAGTAAACAAAGCCTGCGGGGCCAGGTGAGGGCTAAGCTCACCCCAGAGATCTGCATAAATAACGCCTCCAGCAACAGCAGGTGGGCAGGCAAGCCACAGTTGCAGATGGCCATTCACAACCTGTCTCCAGACTCTTTTTTTTCTCTCTTCCTACCTTTGATGAGAAAACAACCGAAATACCCCTGCATGCTGAAAAACTTACTGAAATGGTATTGCGTTTGAACTTGGGACACTTTGTGGGTTTTTTTGTTTGTTTGTTTTTGTTTTTGTTTTGTGCAGTTTTGTTCTACTTTATGTTTCCTCTTTGATGAGACAACTACAGACAACATCTGAGGCACCATCTCCAGGATTGGAGGCTGAGGGACAAACACCAAAATTATTAAGACTGCAACTTCATTGCATTTGAACATGGAGGTTTTGTTTTGTTTTTTATTTATTATTTTGTTTTATTTTATTTTATTTATATATATATTTTTTATCTTTCATTTACTTATTTATTTTTATTCTTATCTTTATTTTTATTTTTTTATTTTCAATCCTCTCTCTGTCTCTAATGCCTGTTCAGCTTATGGTTGATTAGTACACTGTCTCTCCTGTTTATATCTTTGAAACTTTTGTTTGTTCTTTGTTTTGCTTCTTTTCTACTTGTTTTTGTTTTCCCTTTTCTTTAACTTCTTGCTTTCCATCTCCTCTCACTTCCATTCTAAATATCACTAGTGCTATTATTACAAGCTAGAAAATACTTAATTGTACACAGTACAGGGACATAACAACACCAAGGACAATGATGGGAAGACAGAAAAAAAAACAGGGAAACCAGTTTCCCCACGCAAAAAATTAGTACAGGAACCAGAGGGAAATGAAGAAAACAGATACTCAGATCCAGACTCCAACAAAATGAAATAACTATGCCAAAGAACCAATGAAGCCCACAAGAAATAATTTAAAAAAAGACATACTACAGTACTCAATGAGAATTTTATAGAGATGTACTGGATAGGGTCAACCAAAATGTACAGGAGACACTCAAGAAATTCCAAGACAACAAAAATAGAGAATTTGAAAAAGCAAAAGAAGAAATAAAGGAAAACCATAGAAGCACTGTATAAACACCAAAGTGAAACAGAGAAATGATTAATAAACAGATAAATGAACTCAGGACAAAAATAGACAACATTAAAGAGGAAAACCCAGGATATGGAAAACCTCAGAAAAAAAATGAAACAGAACTGCAAAACAAAACGGAAGGCCAATCCAGCAGAATAGAACAAACAGAAGACAGAATCTCAGAAATTGAAGATGAAATGGTAATTAAAGGAAAAACCAAAGAACTATTAATTAAACAACTCAAGACCTGTGAAAAGAAAATGCAAGAACTCACTGACTCCATCAAAAGACCAAACTTGAGAATATCATGGGCATCGAAGAAGGAGAAGAGTGCAAGCAAAGGGAATGCATAATATATTCAACAAAATAATACAGAAAATTTCCCAAATCTAGAGAAAGATATTCCCATACAGATGCAAGAGGCCTCCGGACACCAAACAGACCAGATCAAAATAGAACTACCCTAAATATCATCATTAAAACATAACAAGTTCAGAAACTAGGGAAAGAATATTGAAGGCTGTAAGAGAGAAAAAACCAAATAACATACAAAGGTAAACCATCCAAATCACAGCAGACTTCTCAACAGAAACATTAAAAGCAAGAAGAGCTGGGTGAGATCTTCAGGCACTGAATGAAATAACTTCAACCCCGGATACTCTACCCAGCAAAACTATCATTCAAAATAGATGGAGCAATAAAGTCTTCCATGATAAGCAGAAACTAAAACAATATGTGACCACAAAGCCACACTACAAAAGATTCTGCAAGGATTCTGCACACAGAAAGTGAAACCAACTAACCATGAAAAGGCAGGCAGACCAAAACAGGAAAGAAAAAGCAAGAAAGTAGAGAGTAACTCAACTTAGGTACACACAATCAAACCTTCAAAACTAAGACAACTAAACAGGAATCACCACATACCTATCAGTACTAACACTTAATGTTAACGGACTTAATTCACCCATCAAAAGGCACCGTTATGACAATGGATTAAAAAGGAAGATCCAACAATTTGTTGCTTACAGGAGACCCATCTCACTGACAGAAATAAGCATAGCTTAGGATGAAAGGCTGGAAGAGATTTACCAAGCCAATGGCCCCCGAAAACAGGCAGGAGTAGCAATACTTATCTCTGACAAATAGACTTCAAACCTACATTGATCAAATGAGATAAAGAAGGACATTCCATACTAATAAAAGGGAAATAGACCAAAAGGAAATAACAATCAATCACTGTATGCACCCAATGTCAACACCCCAATTTATCAAACATACCCTGAAAGACCTAAAAGCATATATTTAACTCCAACACAGTGGTTGTGGGAGACTTTAACACCCCATTATCATTAATAGATAGGTCATCCAAACAAAAAAATCAAAAAGAAATCCAAGATCTAAAATATACAATAGATCAGATGGACCTATTGATGTCTACAGAAATTTCTCCAACTTCTACACAATACAATTCTTCCAGCAGCCATGAACCTTGCTCCAAATAGATCATATCCTAGGGCACAAAGCAAGCCTCAGCAATATAAGAAATAGAAATTCACCGTGCAACTATCTGATCACAATGCAGATAACTGAAACTCAACAACAAATAAAGACAAAAAAATGCAAACAGCTGGAAACTAAAATACTCTTACTACTAATGAATCATGGGTCATTGATACATTCAAATCCTAGAAAACAGAATAAGCAAATCCCAAAACAAATAGGAAGAGAAATAATAAAAATAAGAGCTGAAATCAATGAAATAGAAACCAAAAATACAAAGAATTAATGAAACAAAAAGTTGGTTCTTTGAAAAAATAAACAAGATCGAGACCCCTGGCAAACCTGACTAAAATGAGGAGAGAAAAAACCCAAATTAGTAGAATCAGGAATGCAAAAGGGGGATAACAACAAACACCATGGAAGTCCAGGAAATCATCAGAGACTACTTTGAGAACCTATATTCAAATAAATTTGAAAATCTAAAAGAAATGGACAGATTTCTAGGTACATATGATCATCCAAAACTGAACCAAGAGGAAATTAATCACCTGAATAGATCTATAACACAAAATGAAATTGAAGCAGCAATCAAGAGTCTCCCCAAAAAGAAAAGTCCAGGACCTGATGGATTCTCTGCTGAATTCTATCAGACCTTTAAAGAAGAACTGATACCAACCCTCCTTAAACTGTTCCATGAAATAGAAAGGGAAGGAAAACTGCCAAACACATTTTATGAAGCCAGTATTACACTTATCCCAAAACCAGGCAAAGACACCTCCAAAAAGGAGAACTATAGGCCAATCTCCTTAATGAACATTGATGCAAAAATCCTCAACAAAATAATGGCAAACCGAATTCAACAACACATCAAAAAGATTATTCACCACGACCAAGTAGGCTTCATCCCAGGGATGCAGGGGTGGTTCAACATACAAAAATCAATAAACGTAATAAACCACATTAACAGAAGCAAAGACAAAAACCACTTGATCATCTCAATAGATGCAGAAAAAGCCTTTGATAAGATCCAACACATTTCATGATAAAAGCTCTAAGAAAACTAGGAATAGAAGGAAAGTCCTCAACATTATAAAAGCTATATATCATACAGCCAGCATTATACTTAACGGAGAAAAACTGAAACCATTCCCTCTAAAATCAGGAACCAGACAAGGATGCCCACTATCTCCACTCCTATTCAACATAGTACTGGAATTCCTAGCCAGAGCAATTAGGCAAGAAGAAGGAATAAAAGGAATACAAATAGGTAAAGAAACTGTCAAAATATCCCTATTTGCAGACCATGATCCTATACCTTAAAGACCCAAAAAACTCTACTCAGAAGCTTCTAGACATCATCAATAGCTATAGCAAGGTAGCAGGATATAAAATCAACATAGAAAAATCATTAGCATTTCTATACACTAACAATGAGCAAACTGAAAAAGAATGTATGAAAACAATTCCATTTACAATAGCCTCAAAAAAATCAAATACCTAGGTGTAAACCTAACAAAAGATGTGAAAGACCTCTACAAGGAAAACTATACACTTCTGAAGAAAGAGATTGAGGAAGACTATAGAAAGTGGAGAGATCTCCCATGCTCATGGATTGGTAGAATCAACATAGTAAAAATGTCTATACTCCCAAAAGTAATCTACATGTTTAATGCAAT